GGCTTTGYGTGGGAATGAAATCYGYAGGTTCCATAGCCATACGAGAAATCGTTCAAAGGAGCCAGGGAAAGTGACTTCAGGTTTGGTGCGTTTGTTAGTCCAGTCGTTGATGCAGTARGATTCCATGTTGATTCTAAACGAGGCATCGAAGATCTGGCGTGATTTCTTGTAGGGGTTGTTCTTGTCTGCAATGCCAAGTGGGGTGAAGTGCAGGTTGGGGATGAAAATAGCTACRCGGGGGTCAAGGACGATGGTGTTACCTCGTCGAGTGTCCTTGACTAGGGTTTTCATCAGTTCATCATGGTCATTGGCAGCCGAGGTATGGTTGCCATACTGGTAGTAATCCCAGAAATTCTTGTCAGTGGACGATCCTTGGCACACTCTGGGTGAACCGGTTGTAAAAACATGGTGGACTTCACGGAGGGTAATAGGGCCGACACCAAGACGGAGACGGGACATGATCCAGGGAATGTCGCGGTGGGTGGCCAAATGGGGGCCAGCAAGGTATCTGACCAATCGTGGGACATTCATTTGGCATTGGATAAGGGCCGCTGTGGCGAGGCGTATCCGTGATGTGTTGAGGGTTGTCTCGGATGCGAAATTGGTGTAGCTGGCAAATCCACGGACGGGTGTCCGGTCGACATTGGGGTAGTCCTGGGTAAGCACCCGGTAGAGACATACGGGAGAATAGGCTTGGCTCCAAATGTGCAACTCGGGGGTTGACAGGAAGCCGCTGTCATACAAGAAAGGGACRACATGGCGCAAACGAATTTCTCCTGTGAAAGAGATGTTTTTGTGAGGCTTACCGTTAGAGTTATGGAGGACGTCACAGACGTTTGGGTGGAGGGTGCTGGCAAAGACATCTAGTTGCTTAGGGGAAAGTTGCCTAGGGGGGCTGGGAGACAGACTGGGGATAGTGAGGGAGCTAGGCATGGGGGTGACCGGAGTGGGGTGTGGGTTAGGGATAGTGGGTCGTGTGGGTGTATTTGGAGATGGTTTGACAGTGGGGGGTGGGGAGGGGGGGGGCGCTAAAGGAATTGGGAGTATCTGAAGTCATAGGGTATAGGATCTCAGCCGTGGGTTGTGTAATGGGTTCTGTATGTGGGGAGCTGGGGGGTAAAGGGCGTGATGGGCGGAGAGAAAGGGTTATCGTGTAGTCTGGGGGAGGGTGAGCTATAGGGTAACGGGGAGAAATGGGAAGACTATAGTGTTAAACTAACCTCGTGGGCATCTGGCGCCACAGGTGGGGGAGAATTTGACCTTGGGGTTGGATTTGACAAATTTGCACAAGATCTTCTGGTCTTTGTCACTGAGGCGGTCAAAATGGTCGCAGTGGAAAAAGCGGCAGGAAGAGCCATACTTGCAGGCGGCTCCGACGTAGCAGTAGTTGACGCAAAACCAAGCTTTCTTGCGGCCTAGAGGGTCATCACAGCGAGGTTTTGGTTCACCTCGGTTGCCCTTGAAGACAAAGATCGGAGTTGTTGGGGGGTTTGCGGTCATTATCATGGCGGTTGTTATCACGCCTGTTGTTGTCCCGTTTGTTGTTATCACAGTTATCGTCGTTGGAGCGGTCGCGTTTGTGACCAGACACGGTGTCATCGGGGTGAAACCAGGAGTAAGAGGGGGGGACGTCGGGGAAGGGGGAGCCAGTGGTTGCTAATGGTGCACGCTTGACATGGTCATGTAGTTCACGGATAYTGGTYAGGATGGTGGTAAATGGGGATTTGGGGAGGGGGGATGAATTCTTTGCACAGGTGACGAGGTCTGTTTCGTTACCTAGGTTAAAGAAAAGGCCCATGATCTCTTGGTAGAGGGAGATCAGGCAGTGAGGCATGTCGGATCTAGGTTGGAGGTTATGCTCGAGCCATTCCTGTAGTTGTGGGGTACAGTAAAGGGTAGCGAGGTCCTCGATGGCTTTGTACAGGTAGCTGTGTTGGGCTTCCGGTGAAAGGGCGTGGAGGAATGCAAGGAAGTTGTGTCCTGCAGTGGTGATGTCTTGGGGAGACTTCTGGGAGCCTTCWACRAAGATAGTAGTTGAGGCTTGGGTGGTGCGATTCTTCTTGTTGTCTTCGTGGAGGGCTTCACCTTCACGGGTTAGGTTGGTTCGGGTGCGTTGGATGAAGGCCGCGTTGTCCATGGGTACAGGGAGGAAGGCGAAGATTGTGAGAGAGCGATCCAGGATGTCCTTGCTGCGAGCTAGGGGGGTATGCATGACAGTGAAGGATGTAACGATGCGAATGAAAGTGCGATCAAAAGTGCCGCGTCGGAAACGGGTGAAAGGGAGGCGGTTCTTGGCTCGCTGCTCGGCGTTGGCACGTTGGAGGAGGAGGTTAAACTGCTTGGTTAAGTGCATGGAGTTGGAGGAGGAGAAAAGTTGTTGCATTTCGGGGGACAGGGTAGCTGCAACAACGGTCTCTTCACCAGTGATTTCATCGATGTGAGGTCGGGCAAGGGCGGCTCGCCAACTGTTGATTGACAAGTTGTGGCCTGCTGCATCAGAGGTGGATGATGATTTGGCTGTGGTGTCTCTGATCGTGGTGAGTAGTTCGGTGAGGTGAGTGTGGGACAAGTTCGCTTCTGCGGGGCTCGGGGTAGGGTTGGCAGGTAGTGGAAAAAGTCGGGTCGCGCGTTCGAGTTTGCTGAGGATGGATTCCTGTATGTGGGGAGTACATTCAGTATTGGCTGTGGKGTTGGTGGAAAKGGTAGTGGTGAGTGTCGCTTTGGGTGTGAGTGAGTCTGGGGTTAGACTKGAGAGGAGGTCGTGGCCAGCGTTGTTAGGTTGCCAGTTGGATGGGGCAAAAATGGAGTGGTGAGTGTGGAGGGAATAGCCGTCATGGTGTTTAGCAAGGAAACTAATGGCTGTCCACCAGGTAGAGAAACCCGGGTCGTAGGTGCCTGGGGGTAAGGGGGTACCTGCCTTGAGTCCGGTGGGGATGGGACCAAGGGAAGGCCAGAAAAAGGGGATAAGGATAAAATGTGGTAGGGAAGACCCAGTGCCATCGTGCTGGAGGGTGTCGGAGCTGACTTGGGTATCTGGGTTGGAGGCGCTGGCGAAGGTGTCGGGGATTTTGTCGTCGTTAGTCCAAGTACGGAAACCGTCAAGGGAGGACTTGGGTGCAATGCTCAGAACGACACTGTCCAAAGCGGTTGAGGGGAAAATGACGTTAGTCGAGGTGGTGATGTTGTCAGTGTGGGAACCGACGTAGTGGAGGGTGTCGGAGGTRTCAGACCATGGGACGATCGAATGGATGACCTCAAGAGTGAGGTCAGTCGTGAGGTAGGTGTAACGGGGGTGGGGGGAGGAGCGGAGGATGTTCCGAGGTGCGGTGTTACGTGCTGATCCGAGTGTATCTAGGTAGTGTTTGGCGACACGGGTTAGGGAGGGCTCAGGTGAGCCAGGGAGGGAGGAGTAGGTCAGGTGACCATGGGTGAGGCAYTGGGCCTGGAGCTTGGTAAGTTGGGTGATAGACATCGTGGGATTTTTGGAAGTGAGAAAATTTGGTTTATGGGGGGAAGATTGGGTGTGGGAGGATAGGACTCGAGTGGGTTTGTGTTGTTGTAACAGTGGTGGGGTTGAGTTGGGATATGTAGGGGGTGTGATTCGGCGGTCTTGGGGGCTGAGTCGCGTTGTGGGGAGCGCGTGTGTGGTTGGGGAAGGGGGTCATGTGTGAATGGTTAGTGGGGCACGTGAGAGTGGTCATTGTGAGGAGTCATGGTGACTACACAGTGGTGTGGAGTCGTTGGTTGTATGGGGTGGTAGGTATATCGGTTGGTGTGGCTCCTTCTTGGTTCTATTGAGGGGGAAAGGAGACAAGGGTATTAGGTGTGGGGGGATCACTGGGGGTGTCCTAGTAGGGACGATGGTGTGATTCGGGTATGGGTGTGGTTGTGGTTGGGCGTCTTAATAGAGACAGTACATTGGGGTTCGTCGGACAGGCCAGGAGATAAGGGCTGGCGAGTGCGAGGAAAGGGTAACCTACGGGCCAAGGGGGTAGGGTGCCGGATAAATGGATCGGGCGGGGTTGTCATTCTCTAGGGAAAATGACGGGGGGGGGGCGGTTACAGTAGTCAAGTGACTGCTGGGACCTAATAGGGGGTTGGCAGACAAGCATGTTGTGAGGCATGGTCGGCGGCGATATGGTGGTCAGCTGGTGGTAAGTCAGCTGGGTGAAAGATAGGGTGTCAGAGGGTATCAGTGTGATATCGTAGCCTGGTTTGAGCTTTGGTGATCCCATTGTCATGCTACCTGGGCATGAGGTAGGAGGGCATCAACAGCTTTGGTGATCCCATTGTCATGCTACCTGGGCATGAGGTAGGAGGGCATCAACTGCTGTTGCACCAGGATTGTGTGTGGCAGCAGATGGAAGCCCTATCGCGATGCCCTCGCAGTAGCCTCAGGTGAGTGTCAGGTGAGGTCGCTGTCACGTGATGTCACGTGAGGCTGCTGTCACGTACTGTGGTACCTACTGGGCCGTACTTAAGGTGCGGCTCATGTAGGTGCCAGGTGGGAGTGACCTCACTACTACGTGAGGTAGTACCMACCTGGGTCGTACGTCAGGTGGCTCTCACCTGGGCTGTAGTACATGCGAGGGCACCCCAGGTGCCCTACCTATGCCCTGGCCCGGTCRTCTCCTGGTCCCCGCGCGGGACGCTGCCTACATACCTACTAGTCCATATCATCGTATCGTCGTATCATATAACCTAGTGTGCTCTGTCGCGGCAYGTGCGGGGGGAGTCGACTGGGCCAGTCACGGGTGGGCCTCGCGTGGGTATCCACACGCGTCCACCGTGGTCTGTCCTGTGTCTTGCCCTGTAAATAACCTAGTTTTTGCACCGTAGTAAGTTGTTTTGGCCGCCGCCATGATTAAAAAAAAAAACAACGGCGGTGGCCGCAACCAATTACTAGTATTTGTACGGGGATTGCCAATAACTTGCCATTATGGGGCCCGTACGTACTTGGTAGCTCTAGATACAACAGTCACGACAGGTTTCTCACACCGGATGAAAAATGACACGAGGATCTGTCCTACCGGTAGGAAAACAACTTGACTAGGGCAAGAAACCAAAGTTTTCCATTTCCCACGCGTAATTGTTCAATCCAAAATAGAGAAGAAAGGACGGGAGGGTCGAGATGTCAGACACCCAGAATTTTCGCCGGAGTTCCCAACGGAGGAGAAGGCGCCCGCCCGCACCCGAACTCTTCAAGCAGAATTTTCTCCGGAGACAACGAACGCGTTCCGACGTGGGTCTCGTGGTGATTGGCTACCTAGCGTTGATATCTTTCGCGCTATGGTCGGAATGGGACTCTCGGGAACAGCTGCACGATTCGATCAATACCGGAGGTAATAGAGGAAGAGGGAGATCCGCTGGAAGGTCCGCGCTCAACAACCAACTGTCGGAGTTCAAGCAAGAGCGAAAGGAAAAAGCAGCGACAAACTCTGGAAAACGGCGATGGGAGAAACTCCAGTACAAACTGCAGCGCGTCTTCAGAGGCGAGGGGTTCGAAACGAACGAAACCCGCTACCGGCACCGGCCACTCTGGGAAATGTCTGAATTCTTGCCGCCCTGGATGAAAGAGTACTTTGCCTGGCACCGAGAAAAACGCCAAACGCTAACGGAAGACTTTTGGCGCGGCAATGCACCCGGCAAGAACCGCACGGTTTCCAGTCTCAGGTTCCTGGTCGTCCAGTGCCTGCCACGCGACCACGGTTCTTCCGGTGGTGGACCAACCCTCCCGTCCTGCGGGAGCCTCTCGGAGCGCCTGTCGCTTCTTCCGTACTGGCTGCGAGTTGCCCACGAAATGGACCGCGTCTTGTTTCTACACTGGGCGGCTCCTACCGACCTTTCCGACTTTCTGGAGCCCCCGGTGGGCGGTTGCGACTGGAGGGCCCCGCTGTGGATGAGGCACTGGCTCGGAGACAATCAGGAGGGCGTCCTGATCCGGGACGACTCGCGGTTGTTGTCGGGCGATCTCGATTATTTTCGATCGCTGGCCGGCGAACCGCTCGTAAGAGTTCAATTGAGGTCCACCCCGGAACTTGAAGAGCGATACAACGATCTGCGGGATGTTTCCATTCCGGAGCAAGCGACCCTCGAGGCGGTCTTCCACGACGTGTGGAGAACGTTTTTCGTGCCTTCCGAGCACATTCAGAAATCGATCGAAAACACATATCGCGACAACGGCATGGTTTCGGGAGAGTATGTTTCGATCGATCTTACTGCCAATTCAAGAAGTATCTTGGCAAACTCATCGACATCGCTGCTAGAGGCTACAGAAGGAGAGCAAGCTTTGATCGAACACGCAAACCGAGTTGTGGAATGCGCCTGCAAGCTTCGTGGAGGGGGGCCCTTTCTGGCAGTTTCCAGCAATCTTGATATGACTCGAGCCCTTCAATCGCACAAGTCGATACGGCGAATGCCCGTATTTGCGCGGTACAAGACGAGAAATCGGCGCGAACGGAGAAAGAACCGCGACCGGGCCAAGGAATTGCTTCCTCAACCTTTGATGGATTTCGATTCGACGGGCGATTCGGCTCGGCTTCCGGACCCATACTACGACGTCTTTGTAAATCTCTTCCTCATGTCAATGGGCCATGGAGTCGTGACATCCGATAGCAGAGGCGTTAAGACACTGAGTCGCTTGGCAAACTGGATTGGATATGACTCGAGTCGATACAATCTGTACACCCCCACCGGCTGCGTCCCCATCGGTTCGAGTCCGCCATCCGTGGGTGCAACAGAAATTCATGACAGAAGGACCATCCCCGAATCAATTCAACACTATTTCAGCACAGAAATGATGATAGATGGATTGGATCATGGAGGGATGCTCACCAGTCACCACCACGAAGACCAGCAAGAACTACAGCACTCGCTTGAGACCTCGGGAAAGTCGCGGCCGGAATCAAACCTCCCGCAATGGATGGAGGAATATTTTGAGTGGCATAGATCCACAAAAAAAGAACTTGATAGATCCAATTGGAAGAATACAAAATACCTTGTTTTGGTGTGCTTGGAAACTCATTCAAAATGCGGCGGGATCAGTGACCGCCTGAAGCCTCTCCCGATGGTCGTTTGGGAAGCCTTCCATAGCCAACGGCTTTTGTTGATACTGTGGGATCGTCCCAAACCGTTGGAAGAATGGCTTATTCCGCCGGATTACCACCAGGGCGGCATCGATTGGATCGTGCCGTCGTTCCTGAAGGAAAAAATGGGTAAGTTGACTTTTGCTCGCGGGGCTGACGCAAGAAGCTGGGAGGAAGGAAAAACGCTGCGCGAAACCAAGACGAACAAGACCCTTGTTACATACCAGATTCAGAAATCCGACGCCGGCGAAAAAATCTTTTTCGAGGAGCAACAGCTCTACGCGAAAAATTGTACCGGTGCCAACGCCGGGAGTTCCTACCGAAGCGTCTTTCGTCACCTGTGGCGACGATTGTTCAGACCCAATCCCCGTTTGGAAGACTTGCTAGAGTCGAAACGGAAGGAGCACGGTTTGGTCAGTGGGCAGTATGCGGCGGTCCATTTGCGGGCTATGTACGGGAATCGGGTGCACCGAGACCCCCAGGAGAGCCTCGAGCTGGCGGTACTGGGCGTGAACTGTGCATCGAATCTCTTCCCGGGAGCCCCCATTTATTTTGCCTCGGACACTTCCTTTGCCGTGGAGGCGGCGCAGGCCTATGCAACACTCCACGGCCTGTCCATTGTGTCCATGGACCGGGATGGCGAGGCCAACACCACTAGCAATAACGGTGCGACCAGGAGCAACCCCATTCATCTGGACAAGGACAAAGACTGGAGGAACCGTCCTGCGTCCGCATACGACGCAACCTTTATCGATCTATACATGCTCGCCGAGAGCCGGTGTGTGGCGTGGAGCAACGGGGGCTACGGGACCTTTGGATCGCTGCTCAGCCACGATCCGGACTGCCAGATGCGTTTCTTCAAGGGGCGAAAAAAGGTCCGGCGCTGCCTCTGGACGAACGAGACCGTGAAACGGCAACCACTCGAACTGCCGAGCATCAACGACATTTCCGTCACTGGGAGCTGATCAGTATATTATTTTTGCATGACCAAGGATATGATATAATCTATGAGACAACCAATCGATTACTCTGCTTTTACTCTTCTTCCTTCCCATGGCAAAATAAACACTGCCGTAGACAGAAACATAAAGACAGGCGGAGTGTACAACTATGGTTTGCCAAGGAGCACATCGTTTGTTTCAATTAGTATAGTATTACAAGTCGGGTGTCCATTCGATCCATTCCAACTCGTCGTCGGGTGCCTGGACCAGTATAGTCATCTTGGGAATGATGATACAGTCGTCCTTGTCCAGCCAACCCTTCTGGGGAACGGAATGCATCTTGTCGATAACTCCCTCCTTGATTCCCTCCACCACCCTCCCAAAATTGGCATCGGCCTCGTAGGGGTTGTGTTTTTGCTGGCTGCCAGGCCCGTGGTTCTTAGTGTTGTCTTTGATAGAAACGTACCAACCCGGGCCGCTGGGCCGCCCGGCGTATCCTGTAGTGTATTTCTTATGGGGGTGCTCGGGGCTGTATTCCTGGAAGGGCATCGACTTGTGGCCCGCAGTGGCTTCGGTCTGGGCGTTGATCTGCAGCACGTGGTCCGCATTCCGGTGAAAGGATCCCGACTTGTAGGTCCGGACCATTTCCATGAAGTAGAAAACGCTGCAAGGGATGAGTGATGGCGGCGCCATTTCGATCACGAAGAATGCCTTCTTCGATTCTCCCTCACCTACAATGACCTCCGGATAGACGAGGTCAACGCGTACGCGGAATCGTTCGTGTTTAGTACCGTAGCCATACCGGTGCTTAAGTAGTTTCAGCGTCGCGGCTTGCAATTTCTTGGTCAGTCTCAGTCCCTCGGGATCGGTTTCCATGAGGACGCCCTCGGTGCTCTTTCGGGCCCGGACTTTCTGGTCCAGTTCTTCTACCTGGAAGGTCAGGTCGAATTCGGTCTGTTTGGAGGTCTTCTCCGGCGGGGTTTCTTTCGTTGCGATCGGCGGGGTCCTTAGTTGCCCCTGGGCCGCGCTTTCGTGTGCTACCAGGTTGTCTTCCCATTTCTCCACCAGGTGCTGAATGTTCTTGCTGAGTTGCGGCGGGTCGTGCGTGTGGATGTATCCCATGATCAGGCCAACAACAGTTAGGGTTGCCACTAAGATCAAGGCGTTTTGGAGAAAGCCCCTGGATTGCCGGTTGATCTTCGATTCCTTTTCGTTGTCGTCGTTATCTTGGTCCATGACGAATGCCTATGCCGTGGTCTTTGCTTCGTTCTGTCCTTATTTTGTTGGGGGTGGTTTGATCGCTCGATCTTTTCCGCAATACTATGCGTTTCATAACAATTGAAATCGGCCTCGAAATAGAGCAAAAAGTAATAATTTCAAGTTCTTAACTTCAATTTGAAGTCATGAATCTTTTGCTCCTACATCATCTGGTCCTTAAAACGAGAACTGGAACTTTCAGCATGAAAATAATTTAAACTGTAACTTTTTTTGAAGGCTATTGTAAAATTATTAACTAAGTGCAGTCGTTCCTCCCTGCTCTTAGCCTGAGTTATTGTAGCCTTGTCTCTCCTTCGTCCGTATTGCTTTTCTAGATGCTTGCCACGGGACATTCTGGGCCTCTTGGTACTGTGGTACCGTATGGTTATATATCTGGGGTCCGGTATTCTATAGATCTAAATGGTCAGATATTCGACCTTTCGTAGTGTTTGCCRAAATTAGGATTTGACTAATGTGATTAGATCTACGTGTAGTGRAATGTGTAATGGTCTTGAGGTATCGAGGTGGCGTTATGRYGCTGTTGACCTATTACTGTTTTGCGACTGGTTTTCCTCCATTGGAACACCTACTTGTTTGGTGGTAGGCCCATTGTGTTCAGCGTCTCTGTGGGAATGTGGGGTGTCAGCCCTAGTTCCRGGGTGCAGAGTCGTTGGAGGTGTCGCTGCCCGAGCGGGGTTTCTGATTGGGGCGGCGGCGGAGTTCGTATGCCGCRAGGATGCGAAGTCCTTTGCGGTTCTCAGATTGGCAGGGTTGGGTGCGGTGCCAGACTGGGAAGAGYTTGCTGCCTAGTTTTTTCTGTACGTTGTTGTCCCTGGGGTGCATGAGGTAGTACTTGATCATGTGACCGATGTGGTATGCGTGTTGGACTCGGGTCGCGGTATCAACTTTTTCGCGCCGTGCGACTACAAGGAGGTGGCAGGGTGCGTAGTACAATGCCACAGTAGAGTGGTGGCGGATGTCTCGTGGTACCGTGGATTCTGGGCATTTGTCCTTGTTCATGGCCGTGCATGCTATTTCCAAGAGTACTGGGTTGACCAGGCGGTCCGCGACATCTGCCGTGAGCTCTCC